CCCCAAAACCCCAAAACCCCAAAACCCCAAAACCCCAAAACCCCATCTGCAAATACTCGTATTGAACTGTAGTGATAATATTATGTCATAAATTTAGTACCTGTCCCTTTCAAATCTTTCGCAAGAGTTGGAGTCATCAAAAATGCATCCCTTTCTCTTTCTCTATAATCATAATAATAATTTGTAAAATATTTTTGAAGGTCATCTATTTCTTTAATCTTTCCATCCATCATTCCTTTGACTTCTTTCAAAGATTTTTGGGAATAATCGTCTTTGAACATATATGTAGAGTTCCGGGTGTCATAGTTATCTTTCATTGGAGGTGTGAAAGGAGGTTTTAAGGTTTTATTCCGTAAACCTTCCCAATCGAAATCTTTAAGCCAAGCATGACTTTTGACTTCTTCAATACCTCGGTGGCCAATCCTTTCAAACTTATTTCCGTTTAATACAAAGATTGATAAAATCTGCAGATTCGTAACTCCAGCCAAATGGTATTTTTGATTGGCGGATCTGAACATCTGTATTGCACATGTAGTCTCTTATTTCTCTCTTAGTTCGACCAAGAAATGGTCTCTATACTATGAACATTAAAAATTACTCTTTGGAACATTCATTCAAAAGCAATGACTCCAACTGCAAAATAGTCAACTGAGTAGTTATAATTTTGTCGACACATGATCTCTGGAGCCATATAACCTGGAGTTCCGCTTGTATCAACTTTATTATTGGGACGCATTTTATTTACTTATTCCAAAATCGGTGATATGGACATAACCTTCAGCATCAAAAACCAAGTTCTCTGGTTTAATATCTCTATGAATATACCCATTAGAATGGATGTACTCAAGTGCTAATACCATTCATGCTACTATGAATCTAGTTTCTTTCTCTTTAAATTTGACCCTATTTATCAGGTGGTACCTCATGTCTCCCCCAGTGAGCAAATCCATAATTAAGTACAAATGACTTCTTGTCTGAAATGCATATTTCATATTAATCAGCAAAGGATGGTGAAGGGTTTCAAGGATATTCCGTTCTTCCAAAACACTGGCAATGCTTTTATTTTCCACAAACTCTTATTTTGAGCATCTCCTTCATTGCATATAATTTGTCATCGAGTTTATGTTTGACCTTATTTAACCTTACCAAATCCTCCTTTTCCGATGACTCAGTCTGGTTCGAAATCAGTGATTCAGATAGCTTTGGGGGTTGGATCTGAATCAAACAACTCTCAACTCTCGATCGGAGAGCATTTACAATTTCCCATTTAACTTCTATTTTCAATAAAATTATTATTTTAAGGGGTTTTGGGGTTTTGGGGTTTTGGGGTTTTGGGG